CTGGTTATGGTTCGTGTATTATAATTGATGCAAACGGATTACTGAATTTGCGAAAGGGGAAGGTGAACTAAACTGCGGTTTCTCTTAAAGACACCAGGGGTGTCTTAACAGCTGGAAAGGGTTATAAAAGTATTTCCAAAAGCCTTGCTGTTCATCAGTCCACGGTAAGACAGATTGTCTATAAATGGAGAGAGTTCAGCACTGCTGCCACTCTCCGTTGGAGTGGCCGTCCTGTAAAGATGACTGCAAGAGCACAGCGCAGACTGCTCAATGAGGGGAAGAAGAATCCTAGAGTGTCAGCTAAAGACTTACAAAAGTCACTGGCAAATGCTAACATCCCTGTTAGCGAATCTACAATACATAAAACACTAAACAAGAATGGATTTCATGGGAGGATACCACAGAGGAAGCCACTGCCGTCCAAACAAAACATTGCTGCACGTTTACAGTTTGCACAAGAGCAGCTGGATGTTCCACAGCAGTACTGGCAAAATATTCTCTGGACAGATGAAACCAAAGTTGAGTTGTTTGGAAGAAACACACAACACTATGTGTGGTGAAAAAAAGGCACAGCACACCAACATCAAAACCTCATCCCAACTGTGAAGTATGGTGGTGGGGGCATCATGGTTTGGGGCTGCTTTGCTGCGTCAGGGCCTGGATGGATTGCTATCATCAAAGGAAAAATGAATTCCCAAGTTTATCAAGACATTTTGCAGGAGAACTTAAGGCCATCTGTCTACCAGCTGAAGCTCAACAGAAGATGGGTGTTGCAACAGGACAATGACCCAAAGCATAGAAGTAAATCAACAACAGAATGGCTTAAACAGAAGAAAATACGCCTTCTGAAGTGGCCCAGTCAGAGTCCTGACCTCAACCCGATTGAGATGCTGTGGCATGACCTCAAGAAAGCAATTCACACCAGACATCCCAAGAATATTGCTGAACTGAAACCGTTCTGTAAAGAGGAATGGTCAAGAATTACTCCTGACCGTTGTGCACGTCTGATCTGCAACTACAGGAAATGTTTGGTTGAAGTTATTGCTGCCAATGGAGGTTCAACCAGTTATTAAATCCAAGGGTTCACATACTTTTTCCACCTGCACTGTGAATGTTAACATGGTGTGTTCAATAAAAACATGGCAACATTTCATTCTTTGTGTGTTATTAGTTTAAGCAGACTGTGATTGTCTATTGTTGTGACTTAGATGATGATCAGATCACATTTTATGACCAATTTGTGCAGAAATCCATATCATTCCAAAGGGTTCACATACTTTTTCTTGCAACTGTATGTATATTTGTACTAATGAAAACCCAATAAAAAAAGAAAATTATGAAAACAGGCTAATTATGAACGGCTGAGTGAAAGTGGCTAAGGAGGCTAAGTTTTAACCGAATGGATGCAGTAATTTAAACACGTACGAATGGAACAAAGACAGTGAACGTAAGAATTTAAAACAGACGAACGTACAGAAAAACAAATGAGCATGCTATGTGTTACTAAGAAACATGCGAACGTAAGTAAGTACAGGGAGTTACGAAAGTTAACAAAAGAACGGCCCTCGTATATGAGAATGCAAAGAGAGCCCATCCCCGCGATTGGTAGGCCTGAACGTGAGAACGCCACATGTACATACGTAAGTGTGCTGCGTCTTGTGGCCGTTGTCTGTGAAACGGGTGCTGGGTTGGCGATATGGAGACACTGCAGGCCGGGTTGGAGGTACTGAGGCCAGGTCGGGGAAGCTGCAGGCCGGATAGGAAAGGCTGAACTCCAGGTCCGTGGGCTGCTTGCTGGAAAATTGTCGGGAAATACCGAATCAGAAGTGCTGGTTGTCACGGCAACGTTACTCGAATCAGGAACCGGCAAAGGTAAGTAGGATTTCTATAGGGAAAACTCATCCCACAAATTCAGGCCTATGGCCTTTACACACACACATATATATATATATATATATACACACACACAATTTTATTTCCTATATAAAAATACCAGTAATAATAATGTATAATATATTATAAAATAATTAAAGCATTTTATAATATATTATACATATATAATATATTTAATTTTATTTTTTACTTTTTGCAGCCTGGGTGACTGACTTCTATTGGGGCCATGTAATCATGGTGATCACATGGCCCTGAAGGGCCAGGGTGGCCGTTGCTGCTGCAGGGGGACTGCTGGGGTGTCCGGCAGTCCCCCCCGGCCGTGATCACAGCAGATCGCCAGTCCAGGGCTCCTATTTTCTTAATGACCGTTTTTTTGTCGGACGTACCAAGTAAGAGGATATATGTATTTATAACTTCATTCTAAATGTATTTTGATTTAAATATATAAATATATTAATATCAAAATACAGTTAGAACAAATTTAAACCGGTATATATATATTTTTTTATTTTATTATTTTCAATGTATTTATTTATTGTTTTTTACATATATATATATATATATATATATATATGTAAAAAACAATAAATAAATACATTGAAAATAATAAAATAAAAAAATATATATATATATATATAAAAACAAAAGTTTATAGGCACTCTCTATAGTACGACGATAAAACAAGTGAAAAAAGGCGCTTATAATAGTGATTATAACCTTATTACATAAAGCAGCACATATAAGTGTATCAGCTCATAACACCCAACAATAAAATTCAAACAAAAAAATTAGTGCGCTGAATATTTATATGCAAGTGCAAATATAACTCACTGTATCAATAAAGTGAGATAGTGCAAACAATTTACACCACTGTAGTGCAAAAATACAAGTGCTACATCCAAACACTTATAACACTCTTTATCAGTGCAATATGAAAAATTCTTAACACCAAGATTGTAAAGTGACTTAGTATATTAAAAGACCAAATATGGTACACTTACTAAAATCAGATGCTTGAAGTAACCCTTGGTTTCAAATGGTGTTACATAAAAAGAAATACAATACAAGTATTGCTATTTGAAAATAATACAACGTGTGTGTTAAAATTTCACTCACAAGCAGAGAGCAGATGAGCCTGACAGCTCCAAATGCAGAAAGATCCACTGCAGCCAATAAAGTAAAACGATTTATTTCCACAGTTTAAAAACAAAGCATTCATTCACATATTCCGGATCCCTGTAAAAGACTGTCCTTTTGTAGGTTCGTGCATCCGCCGGCTAAATAAATCAGTCCGTGCACCCACACGATCGGTAAAGTCCACAGGATACTTCCGGGAGGCGTGGCGTACATGATGACGTCAGGCAGCCAATCAGATAATGTGTTTCGCCAAGGCTTCTTCAGATCTGACTCACTCCTGTCATAGCAGTCTTTTTATACTGCCCATCAGGGCATGATTTATTACACAGTCCATTCTTTATTGGCTCTTGTTGCTCTGCTTTTTAAATCTCGCGCGAGTATCCTGTGGACTTTGCCGATCGTGAAGCTACCTACTTATTGAAATAGAAATTGAGGTCTGCAGCGCAAAAGCTGCTCTAAATTGTTAAACATGATTAGACAATTGACACCACAGATATGTGTAGACAGGTCCATAGACCATGCAAAAAATGCATACATAACATATATACAAAGTTGCCTAAATCTAACGTATAACCTATTCAATATGCCACCTTGAAGGATAAACCTGTTAGCAGCATCATAAGAACCAGATTAAGGAAGAAAATTGTGAGAAACCGCCTGGCACCCCAACTGGGTGCTTCCGGCAATTGCTGCTTCCTAGTAGCCTGGAGTACTATAAGCACCGCACTGGACATCATAAGCACCGTAGCCCCTTAGCCGTGGTAGCATGGCTGGGGTCTCGCTGTCCTTCACCCACCCTAGACCCAAGCCCAGGATCCAGCTTCCAGTGGGTGGACCTCTCCTACTCCAGAGAGTCTAGCAGGTATAGCTGTGTAGCTTTTACAAGAGCTAGTGATTATAGCCAGTATAGCAATCTGAAGCTGGTATAGCTGTTCCCTACAATCACGAGACGAGGCTGCGTGTTGAGGGTGACGTGAACTGACTTTAATTGGACCACACTTGGTCTTTTATGACAGTCCCCATGCAAGGGGCTCTCCCCCCTGGACTTGAGAGTAAACCACAGTAGAAACAAATACACAATCACATTGGCTCTCAGATCCAGGACACTCCCATACAAACTAGGCCAATCCCTCCTCTGTTTCTAGGAGATAATTGAGTCAAGTACTGTATTAACTCAATTATCTCCGAACACAAAGCACACATGTGGTGAAACCAACCTCGCCACTGGGCATTGGAGAAGACTGATTGCCAGCCTCCTGCCATGTGACTATGGCCCCTGGGATGTATTGCCCTTTAAAGACATTATTTGGGCATATTGTATTTTATTGTGATGTTTCTGGCCCTTTAAGTACTTTGGGAAAGGACCTGCAGTTTTGGCATGGCACTTCGGATGCAGCCGAAGTGCCGAAGTAGTCAAAGTGGCCGCCATTAGAAAACCGAACACGTGGCGGCGGCCATTTTGATTCATTCGAATGCAGTAAGCGGTGTGGGCCGTCAAATTCATGGAACTAAAATCGGCTACAGAACGGCATGAACACTGCTGAAGTTTTACCTTCCCTGGAACCAATTCATTTGACAGTTCATTCGACAGTTCATTCGACAAGACTTCCAGCTAACTTTTTTTTTTGTAATTCTTAATTTTTGTTATGCATAGTATATCAAACATGCTTGCAATGCCACAACAGCAATTACAAGCTGGCTTATCGATCACATGGTAAAACTGTAACATGGCACATAGAGTAATGGCAAAGTGTATGGTGAAAGCAGTATAATAAAGTGCCTGTTCGGGCTAAACATATATATTTTGACGGTGTGTTGGGTAGTGGAGAAGTAGTCTCGTCTTGCAGCTAGTTATGGTGTAGCTCATTAATTGTGTTTGACCATAACCACTATAGTGATACAATGTGTAGTAGAGATTGTTAAATAGTGGAGCCGCTTGTAGGGGACTCAACCTAGTAGATGCTGCCGCACTCATAGTATATACAATTGAGTTTACATCCTCACAGCGAAGGTCGCTGTTCGGGCGGTAATTCTGGTTTTGAGGTTATGTCAGGCCTCAGGGTTTGGTGCAGTTTTATGAGCGTTTGAGCAGTGTAGTTTCTCGTTTGGTTTCTGATTTGGTGGTTTTTACATACTATAGGCCTGCAGTAAGGTTGCCTGCTGCTAGAGTGTCACACAAGAAAGAGTGGCACAAGCCTTTCTTTGTACTATAGTCTGAGTGTTGGGTGTGTGTTCTCCGTTAGACGTCAGGACCGTTTTGTTGTTTGCTTATGTGTGTTTCGTTTGGTCTCTGTTGTCAGTTGCATCGTCTTGGGTGCGTCTGAGTTGCGTTTGCGATGTTAGCTGCGGCTTGTTCCAGTGGTCAGGGGTGGTTGTCGTGTCTTGTGGTTTTGGGTTCGCGGTGTTATTGTGTGTATAGTCTATCGTGGGTATATTATGGGTAGCTTGTGTATGGGGATAAGGCATCGCACCTACAGGGGAGAGTGGGGAGAGTGGGGGGGATGGAGGGAAGTTACAGAGCGGCCGGACGTCCCCGACCCCGTCTCACACTCCCACAATGTGTCTCATAACCCAAGGGTCCCAGATTTTGTGGAAGTGTTTTGTCGTGTCATGTTTGTCCATTTCCATGGTTTCATTGGTTTTTTGGATCATCTTCGCCAATGTGGGTGTGTTGTGGTTACCCCATTGCTCTGCTATGGTGCGTCTAGTAGCGAGGGCTATTTTCGCTACCAGTTTGTTTTGTGCTCTTGTTAGTCTGGGTAGGGGTTTGGAGAGTAGCCACGTCCAAGGGTCCGTGGGTATGTCTTCGTGCAATATTCTGGAGGTGAGGCTAGCAACCTCAGTCCAGAGTTGCGAGCTGCAAGGGCAGTGCCACCACATGTGTATGTATGTACCTTGTTGTCCGCATTTTTTCCAGCACGTGTCTGTTTGGGCTATGCCCATCTGTTTGAGTTTCAGAGGCGTTAGGTACCATCTAAGCATGGTTTTGTACGCCTGTTCTTTGTGGTTCACGCATATGGTTAGTGAGGCGGTTGCTTCCCATATGCTTGCCCAGTCTGTTGGGTCATCCGGTGGGCTTATGTCTCTTTCCCATGCTTTTGTGTATGTGAGTGTGTCCGCTGGGGAGTTGGAGTTTAGTACGGAGTATATCAGGGAGATTTGTCCTTTATGTGTGGGGGCTTGTAGGCAGTTTGTTTCGAATCGAGTGAGTTTTGCGGTTGCTGTTTTCCTATTCTGAGGTTCTGTCAGGAAGCTGCGTAATTGTAGATATCTAAAGTGGTCGAAGGTGTTCAATGGCGTGGTACATGGGAGTTCTGGGAATGGGATTAGTTGTTGGTTGTTATAGAAATCTCTGAGTCTGATTAGTCTGTTGTCTTCATAATGTGCGAAGTCACGTGGTGTCATGCCTGGGGGGAATTGTTTATTTCTAAGGATTGGGGTAAGTGGTGAGGGGGAGTTTATGAGGGGGTATCGTGCGGTGGTTCTGTCCCAGACCTGTAGTGATGTAGTTAGGGCAGGTGTTGTTGGGGGAAGTGCCGGTCTGTCTTTTTTTGGGAGCCAGAAGAGGAGGGAGGGGTGGTCTCTGCCGAGGAGGTCGTGCTCCAGATCGACCCAGAGTTTTGTCCCCGGGGGTGAGTGGAGGTGTTGCACTTGGGCTAGTTGGGCTGCTTGGTAATATTGGATGAGGTTGGGGAGGCCCAGGCCTCCGGTCTTAACTGTTTTGTACATTGTTATCCGTTTGATCCGTGGTCTTTTATCGGCCCAGATGAATTTATCTATTTTTGATTGGAGGGCTTTGAAGTCCAGCCTAGAGATGGGGATGGGTAGGGTCCTGAACAAATATAGGAATTTGGGCAGGAGATTCATTTTTATGGATGCGATCCTGCCTAGCCAGGAAATATGCATGGGTTGCCACCTTTGTAGGTCTATTTGGGCTCGTTCGATTAGGGGGGTATAGTTGAGTGAGTACATTTCGGAGAGGTTCGCTGAGATGTGTGTGCCTAGGTAGTGGATACTTTGTTGATTGTATCGGAATGGGTGAGAGCATTTTATTTGGGTTAGGAGTTGTTGCGGGAAGTTGAGGGGAAGGGCTTCAGTTTTTTCTAGGTTAAGTTTGTAGCCGGAGACGCCGGCATATTTTTGGAGGAGTGTGAGTAGGGGGGGCAGGGAGTTGGTGGGGTCCGTGAGTGTCAGTAGGATATCATCTGCGTACGCTGCGATCTTATATTCTTCCTGTCGGACTTTGAGGCCCAGGATTTCGGGGGATATGCGAATGAGTTGAAGAAGGGGTTCTAGGGAGAGGGCGAACAGGAGTGGGGAAAGCGGGCAGCCTTGTCTGGTTCCATTTTTTATTGTGAATTCATGCGGGCCAGTGTTGGGGAGAAGGAGGGTTGCCGTGGGGTTGGAATACAGTGTTGTGAGGGCCGTGATGATGGCGTCGGGGAAGTGGAATTTTCGTAGGGCGGCAAATAGGAAGGGCCAGAGTAAGCGGTCAAACGCTTTTTCCGCGTCCATCGAGAGTAGGAGGGTGGGGATGTTCCTATGTTGGGCTCTCCATATTAGGTCTACCGTGCGTCTGGTGTTGTCGCATGCTTGGCGGTTGGGGATGAATCCTACTTGGTCTGGGTGCACGAGTTTTGGAAGGAGACGTTGTATTCTGTTGGCCAGTGTTTTCGTGAGGATTTTGATGTCTGTGTTGAGGAGAGATATTGGGCGGTAATGTCCAGGGTCTAGGTGTGTTTTGTGTGGTTTGGGGATTAGGCATATGTTGGCCTTGAGCATCTCTTGTGGTACCTGGTCGCCTTCCATTATAGAATTGCAGAGTGCGGTCAGATGGGGTATCAATGTGGCGCTGAACGTTTTATAATAGAGGCCTGTGAAGCCGTCAGGTCCTGGGCATTTATTGGGTTTAATGTGCTTTATTGTGAGGGCTATTTCCTCTTCAGTGATTGGGGACGCGAGGGTGTTTCGTTCTTGGTCTGTTAGTGCTGGGAGGGGGATTTCCGATAGGAAGTCGTGAATTTCTTGTCCTAGCGTTTGGTGAGTGAAAGTGTGGTTGGGTTTATGGTCGTATAATTTGGAGAAGTAGTCAACGAATATAGAGGCTATGCGGTCAGGGTCTTTATGGGTTCTGCCTCCAGGCGATGTGATTTCGTCTATGTGTTTTTGGAGAGTTTTATGTCGGAGTCTACGCGCAAGGAGGGTGTCTGCCTTGTTGGACTTCTCATAATATAGTTGTTTGGTCCATTGTAATGCTTTTTGGGAATCTTTGGCCATATAGGACTTTATTGCGTGTTGGTGCAATTTAATTTGGTCGAGCAGTGATTGAGATGGGGTGCGTTTGTGTTTGGCTTCTATTGTCCTCAGGGAGGTCAGGTGTTGTTCTAATTCCCGGAGTGTTTGTCTTCTGTGGGCGCTGGCTGCGCTAATTATGGTTCCTCTGATTGTTGCTTTATGGGCTGCCCATAGTGTGTTCGTGGATGGGACCGATCCCGTATTGGTCTCGAAATAGTTTGTGAGCTCCTGTTGGATTGTTTGTCTGATTTGGGGGTTATGTAAGAGTGTGGGGTTTAACCGCCAGGTCCACGCTTTGGCTGTGCGGGGCTTATCTATGTTGAGGGAGATTTCGGCGTGGTCAGACCAGGTGATTGAACCTATCGAGGTGGAGTGTGTATAAGGTACTAGGGAAGGGGATATTAAAAATAGGTCTATCCTGGAGTAAGAGGAGTGTGGGTGCGAGTAGAAGGTGAAGTCCGGGGTTGTGTGGTGTTGGAGTCTCCATATGTCCTGGAGGCCTATTTGGGTGGCGAACTCCATGAGGAGATTGTCATTTTTCCTGGTAGGGGGTTTGCGTGATTTGTTTCCCTCCGTGCTTTTCCTATCTATAGATGGGGTTAGGACTGCGTTGAAGTCCCCGCCTAAGATAATGTGGTGTGAGGGGAACAGTTTTAGTTGTGTGCGTAGTGCTGTCCAGAAGGTCGGTTCGGGTGTATTTGGGGCATAGACTGTGGTAATCGCGTATTTGTGATTGGCGAAGTGTCCCGTGACCGTCAAATATCTCCCCTGGGGGTCTGGGAGGCTTTTTGTGATTGTGATCGGGCAGTGTTTGTGAACCATAATGGCTACTCCGTTTTGTTTGCCGTGTGGCGAATTTGCTAGGTAGCATTGTTTGTAGTTTTTGTTGATGAGGGGAAAGGGTTTTTTCGTGTCAAAATGGGTTTCCTGGAGGAGGATTATGTCTGCTTTTGTTCTATTGGCCCAGCGAAGTGTGCGGTGTCGCTTGGCTGGATTGTTAAGTCCCTTGCAGTTGATGGATATGCAGGAGATTGTGTCCGGCCTGGTCGTGTGTGTTTGTGGTGGTGGGTCGTTGGTGGGCATTCTTTAGTGTGGTGTGGGCTTCGGGTCGAGGGGGTGACGGGGCGTCCGTCCGCTCTTATTAGGGGGGGGTCCGGTGGGGGGTGGGTGGTGGGAGAGGGGGATGAGTGAGGTTTACAAAACCCTTGGGGGTTTGGGTTGCAAAGTGTCTATCCTGGTCTTATGTGGTAGTTGCCAGGTAAAGTGGGGGGAGGCGGTGTTGTACACCTTGGGTTGGTCGAGTGGTTGGTGTCGCCCGGGGAACCCGGGGTTCAGGGGTGGGGAAGAGGAGGAAGAGTTTCACGTTCCTGTTACTCCTCTCCCCCCCCGCGCTAGGTGTGGTGCAGCACTCACGATTTGGCGGTGCGGTGGTATCTGTCTGTGCTGTAAGGTGCCAGTCGTGGTCCCTCCATTGGTGTTTGGAGTGTGTCTCATGTTGTCCTCATCTGTGGTCCTGTGGATGTTGTTTCAAGGATCGTGTTGTCGGTGTCTATTATAAGTAGTAGAAAACATTAGGTAACATAGTAGAAAACATAGTAGAAAACATGGTAACAAAAACACAGCATTTAAAACATTTCTGCTATAAGTGTGTACACAGATCTGGAGTTATCGCATGTGTACCATCTGTGTGAACATTAAGCTATATAACAGTTTCATGCTAGTGACGGGTCCGGATTGAATGGGTTTACCCGTCTATCTTGCTTGGGTCGGGGGGGGGGTGTCTGGGGGTCGTCCTGTCCTGATCAGTGGGAGTCCGTGTAAGTGGATTTGTGGTGTTGCGTTGTGTTGGGGGGGTAGGTAGGTTTGGGGGGTTTCCCCCGGATTAGTCGTGGGATGTCCCCTTTTACACATTTGTAAATAGCTAATGGTGTTGTCATGGTCTATCCTGTGTGGATGTGAGGATTCGGGTAGTTATGGGGAAGGTGATACTGTCTGGTTGGGTTGGTTAGTGGAGTTCATCTTGGGTCCCGGGGGGGGGGATGGGGTGGGTCACAGTGCGTTCTAAGGGGGTTCGTCTTGTGGGGTCGGGGCGGGAACTGGCTAACTAGTCCTGGGCCGTTTTGGGGGGGGTACCTGCAAAATAAGAGATGGTTAGATTGTAAGTCCAGTAATCAGCTAGAGAGTCCCCAAATCAGGCAGTGAATAGTTCTTGGGTAGCACGTCAGGCATGCTGTTGGATGTGGTTTCAGGCGAGGTGTGAAGAGATACATTGTCCGTGCTCTGTTGTTCCAGTGTGGTGGTGATCTGGATCTGTGCCTGGAGTTGAGTAGGGGATCTTGTAGCGGTTGGTGGGCTTTGTTCAGGGCTCCTCCCGGATGTCCCGAGTGCTTGGGTTTTAAGTGAAGTGTGGTAGTTATACGTATCCAGTGGCCAGTGTGTCCAGGGTCTGGGCCAGTTCGTGGGTTAAGAAAGAGTTTTCGTCCTGAGGTTGGGGGTGGGGCGGGGGGGAGGATGGCATATGGCGGAGAAAGTGTGGGGTGTTTTGTCGGTTGAATGGGGGTCGCTTACTGCACCTGGATAGCTCCTGCTGTTGGTGGTGTGAAGGATTCCAGGTGGCAGGCGATCAGACCCGTTAGGATTGGTGGCAGCTGTCTCGGCGTTGCCGAGGGGGTTCTCCCGGGCTAGCAGGTGTTCTCAATTTCTTGGGCGGCCTAGAGTCTTCAGGGTCGTCCTGTGGTCGCCCATCTTCTCGGTTTTTGTGGAAGGGGGCCAGTTGTAGTAGTTGTATTCCTAGGGATTCTGCGAAGGGCGACATGTCCGACACTGAGGTGAGGATGTGTATTTGATCGTCTTTCTTGATCATGAGTTTGAAGGGGTGTCCCCAGGTATATTTGATGCCTTGTCGCTGGAGGCAAGTGTCAGAGGTTTGAGGTCTCTTCTTTTTTTGAGTGTGGAGGGGGCTAAGTCTTGGAAGAAAGTTAGACGGGTTTCTTTATAGCGTGGGGGTTTGTCCCGTGCTATGGTTAGTAGTTTCTCTTTAGTTGTGAAGAAGTGTAGGCGGGTGATCACATCCCTTGGGGTGGAGGCGCCCAGATTTTGCGGGCGGAGGGCTCTGTGGGCCCTGTCTAATTCCATCTCTTGAGGTGTGAGGTCAGGGGCCAATGTTTTGAAAATGCTGTGAAGTGTGGGGACAAGTTGTTCCATGGTGACGGTTTCGGGTAGGCCGCGGATTCGTATGTTATTACGTCTGGACCTATTGTTTAGGTCTTCTAGGCCATCTTCTAGTGCAGCCATGTGGCCATATAGGTATGCTATGTCTTGAGTGTGAGATGTGGAGGTGGCATATATGGAGGCAATCCGGTTTTCTACCTGGTCTGTGCGGGCGGTGAGGCCTACTACTTCCTCTTTAAGGCCTGCCACATGTATTTCCATCTCGGCGGCTACATGGGCCTTAATGTCGTTGGTGGCTTGGTGCAGCATGTCTCTCAGTACCGCGATGGTTATGGGGGCCGCCGGGTTCATCATTGTGTCCAGACTTTCAGCCTCCGACCCAGATTCCTCTTCTGCCTGTGAGGAGGTTGGTCTCCGTTGGTCTGATGGCGTGCGGAATATGGAGGCCACCGATGGGTTCGTGTCCCTCCGTTTCTTGTTGCCGCCCATTCTTGGTTTTCCGTTCCGGGCGGGTGCCAGCTGTGTTGGGGTTGCTGCTGGTATGAGGGCAGACTGTTTCGAGGCGTGAGGGATGCGGATGGCAGGGGATTTAGCTCGTGGGGGGATCGGAGCGTTAGGATCAGGCGTCCATCTTCGTCCGAGGTTAGGCCACGCCCCCTTCCAGCTAACTTTTTAACCCCTGGATGGAATTGGCTGAATTTTGACTATGTTTATAATTATTGTGCTGAATAATAATATGTCATTTTTATGAAGATTGGATGTATATTTTTAAAGTTAAAGTACATGTGTAAAAACGGTATTTCTCTGCCTGTGATAATACATTAGCCCATTGTGTAAGGTTATTGTATCACAGGCAGAGGGGAGGATTTTGTGAGGGAGTGTGTGAGTGTATTGTACGTATTGATTGGTTGTACTTCAAAACCCTGTGGGCGGTACTATCGTAGAATGGGCATAAAAGCAGAGTGTTTGAATAAAAGTTCAGTTCTACTTCACCCTCAATTTGGAGTGCCGTCTTTTATTGGGGAAATCTGCTACAAGGGATTGTTATGCTAGTCATACTCTCTTGCTATATCACTACTAAGCTTTTGTAAGAGCTTGTTCCTGCCCTGCTCTCTGAAGGCGTCTACGGTGGTTATGGTGTCGGCTGGAGTGTTTGGAGCACTCAGGAAGCGCTAGGAGCATCCATCAACGGATGTACCCAGTCGGTGTGCCAGGTGATCCGTTACAACACATTTTTATAAAACCCCAAAAATACCTTTAAAACATACAAAACCACCACAAACGTTACATTCACTGTTAGCCCTGATCTGGCTGAACAACATATGCAAAAAACACCTAGATCGGTTCAGGGGTTCAGGAATTTCCTGGAAGTCAAAAATGTGGCCGAACGCACACATGTTCCATAGAATCACTTGTAACAGACCTCCCAGTCAGTGGATTATTACTAGAGATGTATTCGTCTGATTATTTGACTTTTTTCCATTTATTTGTCTGTTTCATTGCTTTATTTAGTTCAACCGAACAATCTACTGAAAGATGACCACCCAGCAGGGAAGCGTGCTGCTTGTTAACCTTTTTGACCTCTTTTCACACTGTGGTTAACCGCAGACACTTCCATCTCCCGAATGGTCGGCTGGGTGTTCTTCATTCGTATGAACGAACACGTGGCGGCGGCAATCTTAAACTATCGAGCGCCCAGCAGTGTTTTGACGTCAAACTATTTTCGGTCAGTGTTTCACATGAATACCACTGGGACTTCCATCATTTCGTTTAGATTCATACGAACGCAGTGGCGTTCGGTACTTTAAACGCATGAACCAGACCGACCCTGAGGACTAAAAACCATGTGTGACAGATCCATCTGTATAGACTGGGATTGCTGGTTCATCTGTTTTGTCTTTTCGTGGAATTACCCGTTCGTATGCCCCTGTTCAGTGAATTGACTTTTCCGCCGAACAAAACTACCGAACGGACGGCCACCCAGAAGAGACGTGTGCTGCTGGTTAACCTCTTGATCCCAATTAGAACGTTGTGGTTAACCACAGACACGTCTCAATTAAAACCGAATACAGGGTGGTTGTTGTTCGTATGTCGACCACGAGGCGGCCGCCATTTTAAACCACGCGAAAGACCAGCGGTGTTCGGCATTGATTGCATGGAACTGAAAACTGACACTTTTTCTGCCGAACACCGCTAAAGCCGCCGACCTCCTTTCTCAATCGACAGAAGGATACGAACACCAGCAGTTCGGGAGTTTTAAACGCACAAATAGACTTACCCCAGATAGCCTTCCCATGGAGTCAATCGCATACCGAAAGACTGTAATAGACTTTGACTCCATGGCGATTGAACTATACGTATGGGATCTAAGCGCTATTCGCCAATAATATGCACTCAGATCCAGGCTATCTGGGTATATGTGATACGAATGGGTAAAATTCAACAAATGTAAAGTTATATATTTTATATGTTTTTCTGTGTTGAATTTAAAATGGCGATTTGCCTCTTTCCTGGAGATAATTGAATTACTTTTCAATTATCTCCAGGGCAGAGGGGAGGAAATACTAATGCATGCTGGGAATATTCTATTCTGTGTCTGTGGGTCCTAACCTGCCATATGTCTGTCTATTGTTACAGTCTCCCATTTGGTCCCCTAGGGGAGTGTCCACCAAGTGGGAGACCTGCATAAAGCCCACAGTAAAGCCAGTTCATGTTTTTACCCTCAATGCGGAGCTTGGTCTCGTTATTGGGGGGATTTATTACTGACGACTAGAGACTGCCGGTTTATTAACCGCTTGGGAGATATATGCATTCGGCTACTATTGGCGATTCGTGAGTTTGGAGCTCGTGAAGTGAAGTGCCCGTACGAATCCCGTTCGTGAGTTTACAGCTTTCCCCTGCTTGCGGTTCGTATTATTGTACTTGATACGCATGCAGCCTGTGTTATTGCGAGAGGGGAGGATTAAATCCCTCTATTCGTGGTTTTGGTGAGCTAGTGTTCGGTTCTATGGGAAGTGCCGAACCAGGGGAAATAAAATATTGGTCTTTACAGCTGACCTGGCCCATAGTTTTTTGGCAGGAGGCCCATTCAAAAGCTTGGGGCAAGGTTCTGTTCGCCACAAAAATATTTTACCCAGATCCAAAATAGTGTAGAACACACAGTCCTAAAACAACAATGATACCTGTAATGATAAATGCCTGTACAAGCATTAAAGGGACACCATAGTCACCAGAACAACTACAGCTTATTGAATTTGTTCTGGTGCCCACTGCCCATCATAGACGAACCATTTAGTAGAGTGACTGTAGATATAGTAGGCCCCTTAACAAAACCCAGTCCCTCCGGCAAGAGATATATCTTGACCATAGTAGACTACGCCACCTGGTACCCCGAAGCAGTAGCCCTCTCTAATATCCACGCCAAGACAGTGGCCGAGGCCTTAATGAAAGTATTCTCTCGAGTGGGGTTCCCCCAGGAGATCATATCGGATAGGGGTATGCAGTTCACAGCCGAGGTGACCCACCAACTATGGAGAATATGTGGCATTAAACCTATCGTGAACTCTGCGTACCACCCGCAGTCTAATGGGTTATGTAAAAGGTTTAATGGGACGTTAAAGCAGATGCTCCGTACCTTTGGAGAGGCCTATAAGGACTGGGAGCGATTCCTACCCCATCTGCTATTCGCTTACAGAGAGGTACCCCAAGAGTCCACGGGCTTTTCTCCTTTTGAACTACTATTTGGGAGAAGGGTGCGAGGACCTTTAGATTTAATTTATCCAAAGGGTACTGGCAGATTCCACTAGCCGAGGATGCCATCCCCAAGTCAGCGTTTGTCACCCCGTTTGGCTTGTATCAGTTTCGCGTCATGGCATGCGGGATGAAAAACGCTCCGGCTACCTTTCAACGGATGGTGGATCGGCTACTGGATGGGTTTCAGGGGTATGCATGTGCACACCCATTGTACCATGGCACACCCATTGTACCATATGTGCTGGAGCTCAGGGACCGCTTGGAGACACTAACTCAGACCGTACGGACCAACCTCCAGGCGGCCCAACAACGCCAGCACCGCTGGTATGATAGGGGAGCCAGAGACCGCAGCTTTCAAGTGGGACAAAAAGTTTTGATTTTAAAACCTGTTCGCAATGACAAGCTGCAGGCCATCTGGCAAGGCCCATACCAGGTGGTGGAACAGAGATGTGACACCACCTATGTGATTTCCCTGTCCCTGAGCAGGGGCCAGAGATGCATGCTCCACGTGAATATGCTCAAACCCTACCATGAGAGGATAGAGGACATGCCGGCGATATGCTCTTCAGCCTCTGAGGATCAGGAGAATCTTCCGCTACCTGACTTATTAGAGCGGGAAGATCAGGCAGAGGCCTCCACAGGTGTTCAGCTAGGGGAGCGCAAAGGCCTCAGGAGCGTGCCCAGGTACCGGAGTTAATCGCGGCTGAGGGAGCCACTTTCTCCAATTTACCAGGGTACACCCTGCCAGCTACTCACCGATTTGAGAACCCATCACCGGACCGCTACCTATGCGGCAGACCCCATACCGTATCCCGGAAGCGGCCAAGGAACATATGAGGAAGGAAATGGAGGAAATGTTGCAGCTAGGGATTATTGAACATTCCGATAGCCCCTGGGCATCGCCGGTAGTGCTGGTACCCAAGAAGGACGGCACAACACGCTTTTGTGTAAACTACCGGAGGCTAAATGACAAAACAGTGTCTGATGCCTACCCGATGCCCCGGATAGACGAGCTGCTAGACAAAATGGCACGAGGCCAGTACCTTACTACAATAGATTTATCCAAAGGGTACTGGCAGATTCCACTAGCCGAGGATGCCATCCCCAAGTCAGCGTTTGTCACCCCGTTTGGCTTGTATCAGTTTCGCGTCATGGCATGCGGGATGAAAAACGCTCCGGCTACCTTTCAACGGATGGTGGATCGGCTACTGGATGGGTTTCAGGGGTATGCATGTGCATACCTGGATGATATCGCCATCTATAGCCAGACCTGGTCAGGCCACCAACGCCATATTGGAGCAGTCATTGACCATATCGGAGAGGCAGGGTTGACGCTAAAGCCCAGCAAGTGTCGCATAGGGATGGCAGAGGTACAGTACCTGGGGCACAGGGTAGGGAGTGGACAGCAAAAGCCTGAACCAGCAAAAATTGAAGCAGTAGCTAAGACAAAAACCCAAGTGCTAGCCTATCTGGGTACTGCAGGGTACTACTGAAAATTCGTACCCAATTATAGTGCCCTGGCCAAACCCCTGACTGACTTGACCCACAAAAACCTTCCTCGACAGGTCATCTGGGCCCCAGAGTGTGATCAGGCGTTCCAACAACTCAAGACTGCTTTAACCAATGCACCTGTACTTGCTGCTCCTGATCCAACTAAATGATTTCTTGTCCACACAGACGCTTCAATGTTTGGATTGGGAGCAGTGCTGAGCCAAGTTGGAGCAGATGGCGGAGAACATCCTGTAGCTTACTTAAGCCGAAAGTTATTACCCCGTGAAGTGAGCTACGCCGCCATTTAGAAAGAATGCCTGGCCGTGGTATGGGCCCTCAAAAAGTTGCAGCCTTATTTATATGGACAATCTTTTTCCCTACTCACAGATCACAACCCGTTGGTGTGGCTGAACCGTGTGGCGGGGGACAATGCCAGGCTGCTGCGCTGGAGTTTGGCGCTGCAGCGTTTTGACTTTACTATTCATTACCGCCCAGGAAAGCAGAACGGTAACGGCAACGGGTTACCTAGACAGACTGACCTTGAGAAGTGATCTGTGAGTACTCCTCCCGACATCCCCAAGCCGATCCGTTGGGATCAGACTGTGTATGCCGGCTTGGTTCTGGGGGAGCATTGTGGCAAACCTAGCCACTTTAGGTCATATTGCAGAACATTTAAAGGTTGTCTGAAATAGCTGTGTTAACCTGGCGTAAAAATTTATTTGTGTGTTTTAGAATAGAGAGCATGCATAGGCTAACAGCCGTGAATAAAATTGTCAGTTGACTACTGGAGCCGTGAATAAAATTGTCAGTTGATTCCCTGAACTGTGTTTCGTCCGGTTACTGGGGGATTTGGGATATTGCCTACTTTTCCAGCGCTTTACTTTGGATTACCTTCTATACCAGCGGAGATCTTGGGATTTAATATTGCAGCTCTGCTTTATTACGTTTGTGTAAGAAATTGTGATATTACAATTGCTACTTTATCTATATTTTCTTTACATGGCTTCCCTTAATCTACATTTATATTTGACCTTCTCTCCTTTACCCCCTCCAGAGAAAAGTGATGATGTATATCTTAAATGACTTTACGTAGCATATAACACAAAAACAAAGAATGTATCCAATCGCTTTCAGTTTTACTGTATATCTCTGTTTGAGAGCAAATTTAGGGCACCTTTTACAGAGTCAAAGGATTCCCTTTTATCTTCAAATGTTATCTGTAGAAGCCCCATTTGTATGGTGTTATTTTTCCTTAGAAATGGATGTAGTGGTGTGTGTGGTAGGATATACCTTGGAGTATTTTAATGTTTCTAATATTTGCCTTCTTGGCTTGTATTTCTTGATGTGCTAAGAATGCTTTCTCTCTTTAATAATAATGACAGCATATAATTATGTCTCTTGGAATATCTTTTGCCATTTCCTTTGGTTTTTCTGTCCTATGGAACCTCACAATCAGATTTTTTTTCTTTGTTGATCTGATCCCAAATTCCTCAAAGTAATCTTCTAGGAATCCCAATAGCTTATATGACTTCCTCTGGGACATTTCTTATAAGTAGATTGCATCGTCGAGATTTATCTTCCATGTCCGCTAATCTGTTCTCCAAAATATTAATTTGATTTAGATGCGGTTTTTCTTTTTCTTCTTGGATCTCCAAGTTCTCCATTTTATCTTCAATATTTCGTACATCTTTAGCTAATAATGTAATTTCTTCTTTGCTTTCTTAAGTTTTTTATTTCACACTTTATTCGTGCGAAAAAAAAGTTTCTAATCAGGATTTCAAGAGGTCAGGTGTAACTGTTTGTTGTTCTATATCCCATGATTTTTCTAAAATGGGTATGGTGTCTTCTAATGTCTCATCTTGAAAATCACTTAGTATTTTCTCATTTTTATTTCAGCCATCTTTTTTATAGCTTGGGCTGAGAATAAGGTACTGGACACGCTTTTCCTGTTTATTTTGCATTTTTGTTTCTTTCTCTGGCTCCTTTGCTCTTTTTTTTTAGATGTCATAATGAATCTCAATGTATGCCTTTTTCTTTAAATGACCCTCCCCTTCTCCTCCTCCTTTCTTTCCCTTTATCTGATATAAACAGGTTTAATCCTTTTGCCGATGTCCTTTAATTTATGCTGAGATTTTTTTTTTGTATGTTTTTATCTGTTATATTTTACCCAAATATACCTTTTCCAATACCTTATGCAAGCGTTTTCCTTTCACTTAGATTACTAAAGGTTTTTGCGTCTAAGTTTAATAGGCTTCCCCTTAATGCTGCTCCAAATTTCTCTCCTAACTACAGAGCAGCCCCCACGATCTCTAAACTTGTACAAGCACTATTTACAAGCACTGGAGTTCTGTTACCGTGACCTTCGAATTCTGTGCAGCGGGATTTGTTTGCTTTTCGGCACGAGTCTCAGCTTTTCTCCTTATGGATTGGGAGCGTCTCACCCTTCAGGTATCAGTTTCAAGAGGCAGACACTCACAGTAGCTCTTCTGTGTGATCGTACATGATGGCAAGCCTTTGCGCCCTATATGCAATAATGAGCTTTGGCCGCCAATGACCCCAACGCCGCGTTTATCACTTTTACTTCCTTGCACCCCTAGTGATAGGTACTAACCACTGCAAGACTTGCCGTTTTCAAGATGCTCTCACCCAGTTGTCTAGCCACCACTATTTGACCATTGTCAAAGTCACTCAGCTCTTTGCGCTTGCCCATTGTTCCTGCTTCTAACACATGCAATTCAAAAACTGACTATTCACTTGCTGCCTAATATATGCCAGCCCTTGCCAGGTGCCATTGTAACAATAAAATCAATGCTACTCAGTTCACCAGCCAGTGGTTTTAATGTATATATATATTTTCAAAGTTTAGCATGTTGAATTTTAGCCTCCTTGTTTTCATGGACTAAGGAAGGTGATTGCTTTGATTATCCTTTTAATATACTTATTAGTATTTACTTTCTAAAAATTAATTGCAAAATCTCTTCCTTTACATCTAACGTGCGCTGTTTTTAAAAAAACAAAAATCTCTGAAAGAGATGGGGAAAATAAACACACACCTTAGTTGCTTGAGTGAATCTGATCAGAGAACATGATTCAAACTGTCCAGTTATTTAGACGTGACTAGGGCTACACAATCTGTGACTATCACGACAGGAAGAATAGAATATATATTTACATATACACATCTCAGGAGAGGTTAAAAATATACCAGTATACACCTCCATGGAAAGGGGAACGTTCACGGCCCAGGATTTTTTAACTGTTTACTTATCCCAGTATTTAACAAATATGTATTTTTGAGGTGTGTGTAAATATAAAATAAACTGTATAAATCTACATCTCTTTATCCTCTAACTGAGCGCCTACATCTTGGCTACCTGTCAAACGTTGTGATAAGCTCCATCCTTTAGTTTACAGCTTGCAGTCAACATACAGAGAGCAGACCGAGAAGAGGGAAAATTAAACAATGCTTCTCTTTCTTTACAATGTATGTCTAGTCTAAACTAGATTATTATATAAATTACAAAATCATTAATATAAACTTAAAAGTAAATTAACCATGTCATGAAAAAAAGCTAATCAAGTTATCATTGATTAATCAGTGTTTTGGGAGATGTGACCGTCTCCCCCGTTAAGTGCATCCCACCATAACAGCATGCAGGTACTCCAAACACCTAGAACATAAGTACAAACTCCGTTAATTGAGCAAACAACCCTAGAGCAGGAGGCAGCTTAGGCCATGTAAGGTCAGGAAAAGTAGTGGAAATTGACATCTACTTCACAGGCAACTCAAGTATAACAAATGTCAGAAGGTAAACTCGTATTTGAATCAATATGGAGATTGCTTTAGTCTCTATTTCACATCTCATCAGAGAGATGTGGGGTGATGATGACACTTCGAGAGATCCCCAACCAATCCTGCTTGTCAGGCAGCACATGTTGGGGGTGTTGTGCATCTACATATTGTAGAGGATCAGGAGCAGAATCTGCCTCAGTCCTTGGTGGGCTTTGAACTTGCAGGTCAGAGGAGGAATTGCTGTTAAATGAGGGTTTTGTCTCTGCAGTCCCAATGTCTTCTATTTCAGGAGTATCATTCTGTGCTCCCTGTAACTCTGGCTCAAGATGCACGTCTTCCAGAGACAGATTTAGTAGAGAATGATCTAGGGATTTCTCCTGCAGACCAAAATCAGTGTTCACAGCTTGCTGAGCATTTTGGTCAGGTAGAATGGGAACTGCAGGATCGGGGTTGATTTCTCGTAACTGTCGTGATAGGACTGAAAAGAAAAGAAATAAGTAAAAATAAAAAACTAGCCCCCAGTAGAGAGAAGTGCACCTTGTAAAACACACAGTCAGGGTTATTCATTAAAGTAAGAATTCAAAGTGATTTCTAAACTTAAGGACAAAATAGCTGAACTGAAAAATTCACTGTTTCAGCTCAGCTGGTTTGGTCTTAAATTTGAAATTCACTTTGGATTCTCACTTTAGTGAGTAACCCTGAATGTGTAACAATAGGGAGTGTAATTATAAATGACTGCAGAGCTTGTGTGTTACGCTGTCCTCGGCTTATCAGGCAGGATTAACCCCTTAAGGATGGCGGGCATTCTATGCAGTCCTTTTTTAGGCGGTCCTAAATGCCAGCGGGCGGCATAGAACGTCCCCGCCTGTGCCCGATCCGGAGATGTGATCATGGGGTTCTCGCAATCACATGGCCGGAATAGCTGGCTTATGCAGAGAGGGGGAGAGGGGGGATTTATACACAAACGAAGTATTTTAATATTAATCTTATTATATATTAATATTAAAATACACTTAGAATGACAAATCTAATACATTTTAAAAATAAAAATATAATTATATACCAGTTTTAATTTATTCTAACTGTATTTTGATATTAATACAGATATTAAATTCAAAATACATTTAAAATGACAAATAATAAAATATATATTCTACAAATATGTTTATATAATATTTTTACATAATCAAGTAATTTTATTAATTACAAACTGAGGGACCTGCCCGACAACTCAGGCAGAAAGTCCAAAGAATTTGGCTGCAAGGCCTATATATAATCCTGTAACTTTTCAGCACACCATAAAACCTGTACATGGGGGGGGTACGGTTTTGCTCGGGAGACTTCGCTGAACACAAATATTAGTGTTTAAAAACAAACCAACAATTATATCTTAAATAAAAATGCAATTTTTTGCATTTTCACACACAAACGGTACTTCACTGACAATATAATTGTTGTGATACGTTTTACTATTTTGAAAACATTAATATTCGTGTTCGGCAAAGTCTCCCAAGTATAACAGTATCCCTCATGTACAGGTTTTATGTTTTTTTTCAAGTTACTGAGTCAAATACTGAATCAAATATAAGGCATGAATTTCCTTTTTATCACAGTGAAATTTGCCAGACTGGTCCTGTTGCCTTTGAGACTGTATAGTAGCCCAAGAATGAGAATTACCCACATGATGGCATACCATTTGCAAAAGTAGGCAACCCAAGGTATTACAAATGGGGTATATGTCTGGTCTTTTCAAGTAGCCATTTGCCAAAATTAGCCTTCAATTTCATTTTTTGCATTTTTCACACACAAATATGAACGCTAACATTGGCCAGTGTTTGTGACTAAATGGCTACTAGAAAAGACTGGACATACTCCATTTGTAATACCTTGGGTTGTCTACTATTGCAAATGGTATGCCATCATGGGGGTAATTTTCATTCCTGGGCCTGGGCTCATGTCAAGGTGTATAAACTGAAAAATGTAACACTATATTTGACCCTGTAACTTCCCAAAACACCATAAAACTTGTACATTGGGGGTACGGTTTTACCTGTGAAACATCGCTGAATACAAATATGTGTATTTTATTGCAGTAAAAGCAAACAGTATTGTGACATTCACAGTTAAAATGCCATGCAGAACTAAAAAAATTAAATATTTAATTATGTTTACTATACAAATATCTGATGTGACATGAAAGCCCTGTTTCTCATGAATAAAATGATGTGTGGATGCACATAATATGAAAGAGGTGAATTACGCCTGAACAGACATAGCGCAAATTCAAGGTTTTGTTTACATCACAACTTGTACAATTGGCTCAGTTCTTAAAGGGACACTCCAGGCACCCAGACCACTTCTGCCCATTGAAGTCGTCTGGGTGCCAACTCCCACTACCCATAACCCTGCAAGTGTCATTATTGCAGTTTTTTATAAACTGCAATAATTACCTTGCAGGATTAACTTCACCTCTAGTGGCTGTCTACTAGACTAGACAGCCACTAGAGGGCACTTCCTGCTTCATAGCACTGTGCTAGAGCGTCGCTGGACGTCCTCACGCTGTGTGAGGACCTCCACCGTCGCTCAATTCCCCATAGGAAAGCATTTTCAACGCTTTCCTATGGGGAGCTCTAATGCACATGAAGGCACCAAAACGTCAGCGCTGCAAAAGACTGCAGTACTGTAATTAGAAGCACCTCTAGTGGCTGCCTGAAGGACTTGAATGAGTGATAGCCACTAGGAGGTGACCTCAGGGAACAACCCTAACTTTTTACAGATAAGGTAGTGATTACCCTACAGGGACAGGTTTCTTTTCACCAAATTACATTAAGCTGTAGCGGTTCTGTAGCCAAGAGTCGCTCTTGTTTTGTTGGCTAATTTTCTATTTTATTTTATTCATTTTTTGCACAGAACTGTGAAATAAAGGTACATTTTATCAAGGATAAGTCCTCTCCACTTAGGCTGTAGTTTTTCTTTAAAAATCAACAATAGGTTTATCTCTAAAACCTGTTGGCTGGTCTGTCCAAGGATTTGATTGCTGTCCTCAATCTGAACTGTATGGAAAGAAACTTATATCTGATTTTATTCTTTCTAAACACAATGATTATAACACAGTATTCCACCTCTTACCTCCACGCAGGTTATGCTGTCCCATGCTTGAGCCAAATGGATACAGGTTTGGAAAAAG